AAGTGCAAAAGTTACATTTGAAATTTTCAAAACTGTTACAAATTTAAAATTTAAAAAGGGAAGGTAACATTATTTTGAAACAAAAACAGATATGCAATGAAAAGTGCTCTGCAGGACTTATAATTGGTTTGCGTAGTAGGATGATTGGGGCAACAATTGGAGGCATGGTTAATGATGTCACAGGGGCTGGAGATAGGAGATAGGCCTAGCCACACACTGTAGCTAATGTCCTCCTGCCATGATACCAGTGTTATAAAAGACCACTTTCATATTACAAAAGACTCTTGAACTGCTTGTTACTACACACTACTGTTCTCCAATTGATATAGAGAGCTGTTCTATAGAGACAGCTCAAGCCAAACTAATTTACGAATGATCTCCTTATTCCAAAAACACAATTTGTTCCCCCCACATGTAATTTAAATGAACCGCACACACAATTTCCTACATGCAACATTTACAGCAACAAAACACACAAAAAAATACTAAATTCTAAATACATTATTAAGAAATGTATTCAACAATCAATATCACCTAGGTGACCACAGCTTTTTGGGACTTGTAGTTTCTCAGGAGCTCTGGGTGATAGATAGATAGATAGATAGATAGATAGATAGATAGATAGATAGATAGATAGATAGATAGATAGATAGATGCAGTGCAACAAGAAAAAAGGAAGTTTACTATCACTACCCATTGGGTAGTCTTTTTGTGACTATGAACACCAAGGGGGTACCACTGTGATTTTTATTTCAATTTCCCCACATAAAGACAGCTCTAAATTACAGAAAAGTGCAATAGGCAGAATAACTCTTCTTGCATTATGGCATTTGCAAAGTGTTAACAGTTGGTCAAGACCACATTAATGCTTTGCTTTTGAATATATATGGAGGATTGTATAAAATGAGGCTGTGCTATGCAGCCAGAAGATACAATTTCAGACAACCAGATGCTGGCATGTTATTCCTATTTTTGGAAATATCAGATGTTCTCTTAGGGTGTGAGAATGTATCAAATATTGTAATTCAGGTAATGAAGATAGATATGAAAATTAGATTCAGCAGTTTACTTGGGTTAGATAACCAACAGCTTGTGCAGCAAATCTAAAGGCAACCTATGCAAACTTTTATTATTTTCTCAGAAAATAAATTCACTGAGAGATGAACAGTGAACAATGTAAGAGTTTACTTTTCTAGAATCAAATCTCAGATTGGATTTAGTAGTTACTGTCAGTACAATATGTCTACTGAATGTCGACTGCATATATTGATTTTAAGACAAAATAAGAATTATAAAGAATAAATAATATTCTTCCAGTTTACTGTGAATGATAATTGGATGAGTCTTGAGTTGATCAATGATTAGAGAACAGTTGTTTCTCTGCAGAGCTTCAAGCTTCAAGCAAACGTTTGTGAACCTTCTCCTGAAGTCCTGCTAACCGGACACGGCTCAATAGAACACCAACTGTTATGTTCATATAAGATCTTGACTGAAGTTTGCAATATATATTTCCATCACTGTGAAATGAACTTCACACTGAGTCTTTCAGACCATTTCTCTTATCAAGTATCTCTTGACTTCGCAGATTTTAGTTTAAGATGCGTTTTAATGGAAAAAAATATATAAAACCTATTAGAGTATGAAGCTATAAAATAGGAAAAATAGTGGAAATATGATTCACTGTAAAGTATGTTTTGAAATTCAAACTCTCTAGGCCACATATTTAATGAAAAAATGAAACATTGAGGAGTTTTCTAACATGTCTCGTTCTTCACTGAAATAAGCTACTATGTGACTTTAGTGGTCTTCCATACTTAACTATATTACAAATGTTGAAGTAATGACATGTGGCAGTCATCATTTAAAGAGCTCCACTAAGCACCTATCTAATATTACCACCAGCGCCAGATTTATACTTTTCCCGCTAGATCAACTGCCTTGTGCCACCTCACTCCTGCCCCAGTTAACCAAAATGTATCACACTATCAACATAAGACATTATAACCTTACATAGCACGGCAAACCCATGGACATAGGGGCCAAAAGAGACACCTAGCATTATGAACTGGGACCAAAGAACAAATGTTGTTCTTGCTCTGATGACAGTTCAGTTATAGGTGTACAGAGCCACAATATCTGAACTCTAAATACACAATTCCACCAACAAAATGCAGAACATGTGGAGTATAAGCAACACTGAACACATAGCCAAACTACAATGGCAGGCAGGGTGTTAGTGTGAAAATGTGTATTACGTTGTATGGGAATATATTACTGGTAGTTAGAAACATGATGTATGGGTGGCTCTGTGCTGCCCCTGAGAGTCCTGCTATCCTAGGCCAAGGTCTATGTTAGCTATAAAGTTATCTAGCCCTGCATTGCATACCACTTAATACAAGCCTACACTGAACTGGCTATGTTTTAAACTGTTTAAACTAACAGCACTACTTTTTATTATTATTTCTGTAAAAACGTTAGAGATAGATTTAAGACAAGGTACATCCATTACACTCACTATGCAAAGAATGCTGGGCTTTCTAATAAAAAAGCTTAGAAGTATCTTGTTTATATCTGAACAGTGCAAAATATCTGTCTGGCATTTCTATATTTGCCTGCCATTCTCAGCTAGAAGAGAGGAGAAATAAGATATTTAAGTACAATCAAACTCTTACACAAAGTGCTGGAGTTGATTCATGCTGGATTACTGCATAAATCTGGAAGAAATACACAAAGGACACCATGATTCAAGCAATTATACACAAAAGTCTAGTATTACAATTTGGTTTAGCCCACATTTCAGCTTTAATAAAAAAAGATGGTTTCATTGGACAATAAGGAGATTTGTAAGATGGAAGCGAACAGAACAAACCTAGACCCTAACATGAAAGTTAAGATTTGCAAATAATTTCAGCAACCTGTTCTGTATATCTGCATTTACAGATAATTTTGACATTCACATTTAACTAAAGCTAACTTGTGCTTATCCAATTTTTGCATCATGCCTTTCATTTAAATTATCCAGGCTTGTGACAGGATTATCGTAAAATCCTGCTATAAAAATTACTGAATTAGATTGTTCACATGGTTAGTCTGTAGTTTAATATATAGTTATCTGTATGTTGCCCTTACTGCTTGTGTTTAACCAAACCCTGACTGGAATTTGTACTTTACTGTATCCTTCGAGGATTCTTTCTGTTCAGAGATCCATTTGTATGCTGGGATATAAGTTAGTAGAGGTGTTTAGTTTTGAAATTGTGTTTTATTGTATGATAAAAAAACTGTTATGGATTTAATATAGTTTTTCTGATCCTTGTGTTACCTTAAAAGTCAGTACTGTTGACCCCTTTCTGGAATTTTATTTTTGATACTTATGACCATTTCCTTCACACCAAGGTGGACAGGTCCCTGCAGGTAGCTCTCCTGTCTGTGCTCCCGGGTTCAATTTCATTAGCATAGAAGGGCCTATTGAGATGCTCCCTGATAGCAGCATGGGCGGTAATACAGAGGCACTGGAAGTTGAGTACTCCACCTACTCCCCGTGAATGGCTGATTGAATTAAATTCTGTATGGAGGAGCTTGCTGCGGCTCTGTACCACGTCAATGCCACATTTTATGCAACTTGAGAGTCTCTGGTTACATTCTGTACTACTGATAGATTTTGTAGCCTTCTGGCCGTTTGATCTGACACCTCTGTGATGGGAGTGAATCTTTGGGATCCATGGACCTGTGACTGTACCCCCTCTTTCTCTTCTTCTCTTTTACCTTCCTCGTATTCTCTGCCTTTCTCTCTTTCTCCTTCTCTCTATGGGCCGCTCCCTCTTCGTGTGGGTACTACGGAGCTGATCAGTTTGATATCATGGGGTAATTTTCCTTATTTGCCAGGATTACCATGTGATGTTACCATGTGCTGTTATGTGACCTCCTTCAAAACCTTAGTTTAATGGGATGCCTATGTGTTCTTGGCCTCTACTCCTTTGTTTTTCTTTTTGAATATTGCACCCATAAGGTACCTTAAGAATACTGTGGCGTTGGCCCTTCTGTTATTGGTTTACATGCTCTATGTCTTCTGTCTATTTTTGTATTATTTCTTTTACAAAAAAAGTTTCTAATAAATATAATCTTTAAAAAAAAAGTCAGTGCTTAATCCTTCTCTCCTTTAATAACATAATATTGGACATGGTACTTGTATTAAACACACCAATTTGCTATATGTTGTGCTATGTTTAAAGGAGAACTATGGGGCAACGTTTTGTATCCCAAAGTTCTCAGGGTCACAGAAGGACATATACTGTGTCCTCCCATAACCCAAAACTAAGCATATAGCGGGCTATTGCCAACTACATGCTGAGAGCACAGCAGCCGGGACAGATCCCAATAATACTGTTGAAATCCACCCAGCTGGATGATTGACAGCTGGCTCTGCCTCTCTACCTCATAGTTCTCCTTTAAATAATGTGTATATATCTCAAATCAAATTGTGTGTTTTCATATTGCTATGGGAACAATAAGTTTCTATGTCTTGAAGTACTTTTTTCCTCCCACTGCTTTTACTAAATAATTCTAGATTTTTTTTAAATCTGTAAATTAATTAAATGAATGTTTAAAATATGCAAATATTTTATTTGCATATATTTCCAAAAATAGCAGTAAAATGCTAGAGATTGCATGGTTCATAGGATTTTCATATTGTGTTTTTACGCTATAATATGGCTACATCCTTGCTTGCCTGGGAACTTTGATTTGCTTTGTAAAGGTTGGTTTCCATGAGCACATAGTATATAATTTAACTACAATTTGATAAGAACAGGAATATTCAGTACTCTTCTTTAGAGATAATAAGTCAAGATGAAAGTAAAAGCAATGCTTTTCAAAAATCCTCAAGGACGTCCTTTCTAGAAATCATGTATGATGATCTCTGTAAAGCAGATTGTACTCTCCCTTTTATCATACAATACAAATGCAGGAATCATATAAATATATACTAATTATTATATTTTCAGGACCTTGGTTTACCATGAGAAACAGCAGCATAGACACCGGGGAGGTAGAAATTGGACGTCGCATAACCCAGGAAGTACCAGCAGGAATGTTCTGGAGATCACACCTCCATGTTGTCCAGCCGCAATTCCTTAAATTTAACATCTCCTTAGGGAAGGATGCCTTGTTTGGTGTTTACATAAGGAGAGGCCTACCTCCATCACATGCTCAGGTAAGAAAAATAAAATCCAGCAAGATGTACAATGCAGAACATTTTTGACACATAAAGATCTAACAGATGAAAGACAATTGTAGATAGGTTGGCTGGTGTGTTGCTATTCTTGAATGAGAGTCTTTCAGCAAAAGTAGTGAAAGTTAAGTAGCAACTTACACTTTAGTGAATATTTGAAGCCTACTACAGCCAAAGTTTTTTTTTCTTCTGTTTTAAATAGTGTGTTAAAGAGTTGAGATTTCTATCAGGTTTTTATTGCTACCTGTGAACTTACTTCGGAGATTTACTCTCACTTCCTGTCTCTGGGACAACCATACAACAAATGGGGGTGTAGGGGCGCCACCAAAACAAGAAGGGCACAAATCCACTTTTTTTTTTAGAAGGTGCGTGTGTTTTTTTTTTATTTACTGTCTTTATTTGTCTCTTTCCCTTCTTCCTTCCTTTTTTCTGTATTTAAACTTTATTTGTGTACTATCATAGTACATTTTTTTATTTTACTTTTATACTGTGCTTTCACCCATTGGCCATTATGCCACTAGTGTTCCCCCATAGAGCTACCTAGAAAATTACTCCTGGTAAATTTTGTTATTGTCATAATAAAGAAATCTGTTGATACAATATATTTTAAATAACTGCTATGGAAGATTAATTCACTTAGACATGCTGTTATCCTTAAACTGCAGACCTTTTTCACATTTTTTGGGGCACTTTTGTGATATGGAGAAATGTTCTTTGCTACAAAAGTGTTTTGAAGGCAACTTTTCAGTGTTTGGAATACTTGCCAGGAAGATCCTTCTCAGGAAGATGAAGAAACATGAACGGCATCCTGCAGCCCTGTGTGTACTCTAATTACATCTAATTTGTTGATCACTAAAGCACTCACATAAAGGAGTGTACAGTCTTCTTATATCAATAGGAAACACCTTCAGATCTCTCCAGATGACTTCTCACCTCCTTCACTGTTCGAGCTAATCCCTTTCATCTAGTATGTTCTATTACTGCAGTCCATATCAACTGACAATTTTTTTCACTATGTACTTAAATAACTGACACTGATGCTGGGATAAAAGATGTTTTTTCTACAATCTAGATGTTTCAGCAGCTGAGCCATTAGGCTACTATCTGCTTGCAATATCCCTGAGGCTATGCAATCTCAGTTGCAAGAGAGTTTGCCTTATTATCTATAACGCATTGTAAAATCTAAGTTTTAAGATGGTGTTGACAAGAGATTGTTTAATGCTTCTTAGTTGTACATCTTCAACCCTAACTTTTTGTAGCCTCACATAAACAAAGTTGAGGTCATGGGTGTCTCTGCTATGTAATTTAACAGCGTGTGGGGATACCCACATGCATAAACTGTTAGGGGGACCTTGGAGGACTGACTTGGTAAGCCCTGTCTAATGTGTTATATTAAATATGTATCCTGCTGTAATATATATTAAAAACTGATGTTTTCTCAGCTTCCTAAATTTATGGACTCCAGTAGGAGAAGCAAGATTGTAATACAGGGGCAGTCAACCTCAGCTGTTTTAGAACTATATATCCCATGAAGCATTCCAAGAGGCCTGATTCCCAAGGCTAGAAGCATGGTGGGATTTGTAGTTTCAGCACAGCTGGAGTGCCAAGGTTGCCTACCCTTGTTGTAATATATTGCTCTGAGCACAGAAGAACCATACTGTTTATTTTCAAGTTACTAATGCAATCAGGCACCACAAATATTGTATTATGCATGACATTGAAAATGTTGGTTGTTGCCAGTCCTTCCTGAACAAGGATCACAGGTACTGATGATGATGATGATGATGATGATGATGATGATGATGAACTAATTCCACCAATTTTGGTTTTTTTTTTTACTCTTGATGCTGCAAAGAGTAATGGAAAATTCTCTGCTAAAAAGACTTTTATGAAAATTACATTTGTGCACTGGCTACAAGTTACACCCATTCCTAGTTGGTAATTACTTTATCCCACCTTAACTGACCAAGTTAAGTGTGTTATCATAAGTGGAGCTTTTTCAATTTCTTGCATGAGATATTTTCAATAAACAAGAATTAGCAGAAAATTTCCCAGATTCTAATTCACTTTTTAGGTGGCAAATTTGCAATTGGGGAATACTGTGACCAACCTATGCTGTGCTCATCTATTGACTCTGGTTAAAAGCTCACAGCAGCCAATAAGGTGTGGAAGCTAAATAACCAAGCTTTTCACTATAAAAGGGCTGAGAACAATCAGAGGTTCAGTTTGTTGGAGCTATTTGACTGCAAGAACAGTGAGAGCTGACTGACTGCATAGAGAAAGATTAATTAGGTATATCAGTTAACAAACTATCCTTGGGTTTTGTAAATTGCAGTGGTGGGGTATATTCTCTTGTGTGATGTCCTGTTTTCACAGCTCTTTGCTTAACCCCAAAAGTCCTTATTAGGATTACTTGTATTAGCAACATGTTTGATTGCTAGCTGTTTTGTTATTATTGTGGTATTTTTATAATTCTAGCTTGAATTTGATTTGGGGGCAGCAACCACTTGTTGCTGCTGACCTGTCCATTACAACATTGCTATCTGTGTCAGCAGCACATTTGATTGCTAGACAATCACCTTCTTATCTGGCTTCTATTTCTGTTTTCTTTTTATTGCAGTCAATGTTTCTTAAGTTCTAGTTTGAAGTTTATTTGAGGGCAACAGGTAATTTTTGCTGCTGACCTGTCTATTACAAAAGTCAATTTATTTGTGGCAAACTTTTCCTTAAACAAAATTAAAAAAACACACCGTGGATGCCACTGATTAGCCAGCATGTGCTCACTACACTAATAATAGCAAACATTTACATTTGTTTAATTTTTACAAGGAAAAGAGCAAACATTCCTCTTGTTGCTGCTGCTTATGCCAGTGTCAGCGTTAATGGTGTTGCCAAGTTCCAGCATTGCCACTTCAGGGCACCTTTTCTCCTTCATTTTCTTTCCTTCTTTCCTTAGCATAAAAAAAAAATTAGGACAAAACTTATCTGTTAATTTTTGTCTCCACTTTAGACCTGTTGATACTACTATCAAAGTGGTGTCACAGGCCAATTTTTGAAAAAGAAACCTGCTTGCTCACTGCACTATTTTCACACCGTGAAAAATGGAGCTTGCAAACGTTGTCTGTAAACTGTGGTGCTACTGCCCAATTTTCACCATCTCATACATGAGGTTTTTTTTGGAATACACTACCCTATGGTTTTTAAATCTGCATTTAGGTTTGTTGTGGCTTGTGTCAATGTGCAAGTGCGTTGTGCTTTGAGGTATATTTAGCTAGCATTTGAAATCAACCAAATATGCTTCTGGTTCCATTTTAACCATTTGAACTGATTAAAAACCCATGCACACTGGCCCTAATTGCCTTATATTGATTTTACTAACAATATCCTGTTTTTTTGTGCATTTGTGCCAATACTTTAGCTTTATTGCAGGTGGTTTTCTGAAGAAATATTCTGATAATAAGTGATGCCCTACCTGAACCCCCCTCATAGAAGTCCTGAAATTCCTAAATATCACCCAAGAGTAATCAAATCAATTAGCTAGATCAAAATATTATTTCCCATGCCTTTAGTAATTACAACCTTAGACAGTATAAGTGACCAAATAGTCTCTATCTCAGCACTACTAGTAGTCTCAGCAGTCTTACCACAGTGACAGCCTCTCCACACTTTCCAGGGCTGCTCCTCAAAAGGGTCAAGAAATCCCTCAGCACATGTAGAAAAACATAAAAACAGAGAGCACCCCTTTCATGTGTAGATCATTTATTTGAAGTGATAAAAAACACAAAGTCAATATACTCCCAAAAGCACTGTGTGTAACGTCTAGATACGCAGAAGTTTGCAGGAGCATCATAATGTCAATAAAAGGAAACTCTCCTCCCTGGCATAGTTGATCAGCAGGGCTCTATTCTCTGACTGGCCTGTCTTCAATTTCAATTCTGCTCACCCATGGGGCAAGCTATGGCTCTGAAGAATGGGCTGTGCCCAGGAAACATGTCAGTCCAAGCTTAAAGTGGCCGGCGTTAACAGTATTGTGACCAGCGGATTTTACGAACTATGCTAGGGAGGAGAGTTTCCTTTGATTGACATCATGAAGCTCCTGCAAGCATCTGTGCATCTAGGTGTTACAGACAGTGCTTTTGTGAGTACATTGACTTTGTGTTTTTTTATCACTTATAATAAATTATCTACACATGTTTTTCTATTAGACAGTATAAGTTGCAAGAGAACCATCAAGTCCTTTTTTAATTCTTTACTTTTTCTTTTGGTGTTTGATTTTGAGCATTATTGCTTTTTTGGTGTTACTTCCTTTACCATAGACTTATTTTTCTCCTTTTTTGTTAGGTTCCATGTTTCTGCTGATTATATTACTATTGGCTGTCCTGCACAACCATATATATTAATTTTTGATTTTATGGATAGACATTTAAAATATAATATATCACCAATTATCACCAAAGAACTAGGATTTAAGTTCAAAGTAATTATCTTAACTGACTCCTCAGGACATTAGTCTTGCTCTTTCATGTTTTATTTCTGTATGCTATCATATATTCTCCTAGACTCTATATTGATATTGCCATCATGACTACAATGTATGCATATTTTTATAGATAAACGATTTTTTTAAGTATTGTTCCTGTCAAACTGAACCTATTCACAGACTATGCACACCAGAGTATTTACAGAGTATTTACATATTATAAATATGCAGTAAAAGCACTTTAAAACAAACCCTTTTGCACCTCTGTAGCAATAAACATTGCAGAGAAATGTATCCTAAAGGTTTACAAAATAAGAGCACTGAAATCTTACTCCCTATGACTTTCTATTTCACCAGAATCTTGCCAGCAGGTGTTTCGAATTGACGGAAATCTGGCCTGTGTTTTCATTCTTTGTTGTGATTTTAGAGAATGAAATACTGTATAAACAGCTATAGATATCAGTGATGGATTGCTAATTTTATTTTGTACAAGATTTGTTGA